TTACTTAGAGACATTTAAAGAGCAACTGGTAGTAGGCACTTTCTTGTTCAATGCACTTGAAATCTTAGCTAGCTTAGATTTTGTCTCAAAGAATTTTGATTTTTTTCCTTCTGGGTCTGATAATAAAAGCAAGGTGATTAACATAAAGTATTTGAAAAAGAGCTTTTCTTTTTAAGCCACTTGTCTCTTACTTCATTACTTGAACAGAAAGTCCCAAATGCCATATTCCAATCACATTGAATTTATTGAACATTTGAATTGCATGACTGCTATGGTATTATGTCACTATGAAGTGGAAATTTACTGAGGATATGATTTGCATTTATCTTTCCAGCAAAGAAATAAAAATTGAATTTTTAATTTTTAAAAGCAAGTAACCTTAATAGCACCTTGACACGTATATTTCCAGGTATTTTCCTGATTTTTTTATATGCACATGTGTTTCACTGCAGTGAAAATCTTTCTACTGAAGAGTGGCAGAATATGCTACCCAAAATATGCCATCTTGGCATAGGATTACTTTGAGCTAACGGCAGTTGAGAAACAGCAGATGTAAGAAGGGCATTTTGGTCTCCTCTTTTCTTCCTGAAAGCAGGAAATAAAAATTCCCATGTGCAACATGCCTTCCCTGTACCAGGAGAAAAGAAATATTATTCTAGGAGGACTGATAGCCCAGAGAATTCTGCACAAACAAACTTGTTAAAATAATTACCTTCATTTAGCCTCCCCACATATTAAGTTACTTTTCCACAATTACCTCTCTGTTCACATAGAAAAATATTTAGGTTTTTCTACTTCTTTGGGTCTTCCTTATGAGCGTTCCAATGCCATGTAAAACTTTCATTACATTTGTATGCTCTTCTCCTGTTAATCTGTGAATTTAATTCTTTGGCCCAACTAGAACTCTTAACAGAGTAATGTTTTGCCTCCCCTACACCGCATACAACATTGTGTAGTCCTCAGATATTTTCCTTAACACAAATCCCTTAGAAAGAAGCAAATTGTTAGCTAGGTATAGTAGCATATGCCTGTAATCCCAGCACTCTAGGAAGCTGAAGCAAGAGGACTGCAAGTATGGGCCCAACCTGGGCACCTTAGTGACTTAGTGAGACCCTGTCTCAAAAATAGGGGTGGAGTGGAGAGGTAGCTCAGTGTGAAGGCCCTGGGTTCAAGGCCCAATAACCTAGTACAAAAAAACTGCTATCAAGTACCCTGCCAAACCCTGTGCAATGCTGTGTCCCTAGGTACTTGGCAAACCTATCTCACTTAAACCTTCGATGCCAGGTACTTTCTTATTTTGGTACCGGGGATCGAACTCGGGTCCTTGCACTTGTGCAGCAGGCGACAAAACCACTGATCTAAATCCCTGGCCCTAAAGAATATTCTTTTTTTTTTTTTTTTTGGTACCAGGGATCAAACTCATGACCTTGCACTTGCGGGGCAGGTGGCAGAACCACTGAGCTAAATCCCCAGCCCCCTCATTTTATTGACTGGGAAATTGAAATGTGGTGTTGTTGCCAATCAGCCTAGGGTCCTTTTACTCCATTGAGATGGAAATCATGAACCAGCAAAGCGCAGCTGTGTTAGCAGTCCTGATGTCACCAGGTGACACTGGATGCCAACATTTGACATAGCCAGCAGCTGGTCACTGTTGCTGCTGCCCAAACCATAGCTCAGCTGTACCAGGTGATGCCTAAGCTGCCGGTCTTCATTGGCTGCTGATTTCTGCATCTGCAGTGTTAACAGCTCCTTATTTTTTTTGTATTTCTTTGGAAATGACCACTCTGTCCAGACTATTCAGGATAAGAATCTCAAGATTTACAGGACTTCTGGAGCCCACACAACTCCAGAAATAAGTCACAAGCAGGTTTATGGGAGTACCAAAGTGAGTGTTTATTTTAATGGGGCCTGTAGGGCAGCACAGGGGGTGACCAGCACACTGGAGGGGTCCCTCCTAGACTAAATCCCAGGGAGTGCCTGGGAAGTGCTGCTTATATAGCAGCTGCAAGCCTGTGTCAGTGAGTGGCCGGGCTAAAAGCAGGGAATCTTCTGGAAAGCTTGTTATGAAGTTGGGTATGCAAATAAGGGGCCCAGATCCCTCCCCTCCTGATCTTACCCACCCCAGGGTTCCCTCTCTGTTCTGGAAAATGCAGCAGTATCTCTAAGTGTGTGTGTGTTGTGGGGGACACCACACTGCCTCCCTGGCTGCCCTCATGTTGGACTGGAGAAGGGTAGTTTGATAGCCAGGGAGGACACTGAAGCAAACTGTCCCAGGCCAATGGGGTGGAGAAGGGAGCAAAGGGAAGTGAGAGGAGGGACAAGCAGCTACCGGTTAACCTACAACCCCCTCTAGCCACCCGGGGAAAATTGAGTCAGGTGCTTCCCATTTATCCCAGTGTGTCAGCTGCTTTCCCAACCTCAATCTAATTTCTAACCTAGACCCATCTTATTTGAAAGACCTTACTTTTTCTAGGATATCATGTCTGTGTTCTGTGTGTCTATCTCCTCACTCATGAGAGGAAAAACAAAATGAATGCACTGTGCATATGCCATGGGGATTAAATAATACCTAAAAATCACACGGAATAGTGTATAATCCATACTTTGTCGAGTCATTAGCTGTTGTTTATACTTGTTGTTATAACACAATAGCTATCTCAATACCCATGGCTCCCAGTCAATCTGAGGTGGAATGTGGGTTTGGATGACTTTCCTATACAGTGTTCAAATTTCACATTAATACTATCATTTTAGGTCTGTATTTTTGCACCGGCCTCTTCTCTGTAGCGTGAGGAGAGGTGTTTTGAGACTTAAAAGTGATTTTTAAAAATCTGTTTTGATTAATGGAAATCTGTTGAGTAGTGGTGCTACTGAAAGACTCTGCTTATTTCCACATGACTGGGTAGCCCCAGAAGGGGGCTGCTTAGTAGTTTACTACCTTAACAAGGGAAAAAAATACTGAAAATAACAAATTAATTGTTGACAACAGCTTTTTCTGATTTTTTATTTCTCTCTCATCTCTTGGTTGCTGAAAATATTTGACTCAAGTTACAGTCCTTCTGGAGGGAACTTTTGAAGAATTTTAGATCACAGGAGCCTTCTTTGAACTTAAGTACACATTTTACTTGGCAAGAGAATTGAAGCGGATGAATTTTATCATTGTAAAAAAATGAATGCTGTGCTGGTAGTTTCTGAGTAGGCCTCTGTTTTGGTCTGTTTTGTGTTGCTATAAAACAGTACCACAGACTGGGTAATTTAGAAACAATAGGATCTTATGTGGTTCATTGTTATGGAGGCTGGGAAGTCTAAGGTTAAGAAGCTGCTTCTGGTGAGGGCCTCTTGTGGTGTCAGACATGGAAGAAGATGTCACATGCCAACAGAGGCCACTTGGAAGAGAGAAATTCACTCACATAACAGACTTATATCACTCGCTCCAGAGATGTCATTAATCCACTCACAATGGCAGAGCCTTTATGATCTCATCACCTCTTGTAGGTCCCACTTCCCAACATTTTTTACATTGGGGATTCAGTTCCCAACACGTGAACTTTGAGGAAGACATTCAAATGATTGACAGTTTCTGGCATGAAGATTGATGCACCCGGATATACTCTTGGGTCTAATGTGCCACATTAAATCATTACTCATAATTTAGAAGATTTCAGCATGCTTGCATCACAACATGAATGTGATCTGACATTTAGTGTTGCAGTTCTGGTGCCATTATAAGACTGCATTTTCATACTGAATTACAAATAAAAATTTTATGCTTCTTACATTAAATGAAATTTTAATAAGGTTGTGTTTTGATGTTATTATTCAAATAATGTGTTCTGAATTGCTCTCCTTTGAATATATTTGCATTAAAGAGGAAATCAATTTGATTTAGATCTTTGAAGAGTTTATCCACATTCTCGGTAGTATTAAAAAGAAAGGGAAATTCAGTTTCTTCTTTGCAAGGCAGTAAATGGAGAAGAAACACATTTGCTGAGATCTGTAGAAGTAATGGCAGCACATTGCTGACGGTTTGAGTTAATGAAATGACTCATTTTGGGCATTAGAATTGTACAATTAAAAATATATATACACAAACTTCACACATCACAGATTATAAGGAATGATACCTCTCTTTTCTTTATTGAGCCCTAAGGGTGCTAATATATATTAAGAATTAGGAAATTGAACGGATCCACATTATTGCAATTCTTGATCATTGATGCTCAAAATTAAACGGTAATCTCGAGAGAGCACATTTCTGTGGTTGCAGCATTCCTTAACAGCATTTCTGTTAAAATTCTGTTCGTGGGTCCAAGGAGCCGGCGACTTGGAAAGGATAACTCATTTGACCAACGAGGGCCTCTTACGTTGTCATACATGGAAGAAGCTGTTTTGGCGCACGTTTTGTGTGGGGTTTTTCTTGTACTCATCTAGCTGACCAAGATTAATGTAGAAAATATAAATACAGAAACGGAACAAGCCCTGCTTTTGCGGCAAGCCTGTCTTACAGATTCTAAGGAGTGGCACACAAAGTAACTGGTTTAAATGGTTAGAAGATATGAACTTGAGCGAGGGAAAATACAAAAAAAGTAAGTGCCCTGTGGGTCATTATTGTCTACATGCGTAGAAATAAATGCTTTTTCTTTACCTTCCACGGTCTTACCTTCATCTTTCTCCCACAATTACTGAGTTCCCTCCATTTACAAATACTCCTGATTTTAAGTCTTAGTGTGGTCTAAAAACGTGCCTAAGCATATATGGCCCCAAACGTAGTAGCGTGTCTGTTAAGGAGTGTGGGTTCTTTTAATTTGGAGTGATCTAGTAAGAACATGCAAATTATTAAAACCTTTGCTAGGACCCAGGGTTGGAGGTTAGATGACGAACAGCTTCTCTCCGCATGCGCAATGTGCGGCAGCTGCTCCTCTCCGGCCCAGGCAGTCTCGCTGACGCAGCGCGCGGCCTTCTTGATGCAACGCGCAGACTCCGCCCGCGCGACGCACGCCCCTGGCGGTCTGCGTAGGACGGCGCAGGCGCGCTGGCGCGGACCCGCAATTCTGACCGTTAAAGCGAGATTCTCCGCGGTGGCTGGTGTTCGCGTCGGCTGGGCGCTCCCGCCACCCCGCGATATGTTGCAGAGACCGCGGAGCCGCAGTCGCCCAAGCTCCCAAGCGGAGGACCGGAATGAGGACCGCGGCGGAGACACCGAGGCCCCGAGCACGTCCCGCGGGCCGGCCGGCTCGTCCCCGGGCTCTCGCAGGTCCCAGGCCGCCCCCGCCGTGGGGCCGCGGAGCCAGAAGCAGCTGGAGCTGAAGGTGGCCGAGCTGGTGCAGTTCTTGCTGATCAAGGACCAGAAGAAGATCCCCATCAAGCGGATCGACATAGTGAAACACGTCATGGGGGACTACAGGGACATCTTCCCCGACCTCCTTAAGTTGGCGGCGGAGCGCCTCCTGTACGTGTTCGGATACAAGCTGCTGGAGCTTGAGCCCAAGAGCAACACCTACATCCTGATCAACACCCTGGAGCCCGTGGAGGAGGACGCCGAGGTGAGGGGCGACCAGGGCACGCCCACCACGGGGCTCCTGATGATTGTCCTGGGGCTCATCTTCATGAAGGGCAACACCATCAAGGAGACCGAGGTCTGGGACTTCCTGCGGCGGTTGGGAGTGTACCCTACCAAGAAGCATTTAGTCTTTGGGGACCCCAAGAAACTTATTACCGAAGACTTCGTGCGACAGCGTTACCTGGAGTACCGGCGGATACCCCACACGGATCCCGTAGACTATGAATTTCAGTGGGGCCCACGGACCAACTTGGAAACCAGCAAGATGAAAGTGCTTAAGTTTGTGGCCAAAGTTCATAACCAAGACCCCAAGGACTGGCCGGCACAGTACTGTGAGGCTTTGGCAGATGAGGAGAGCAGGGCCAAACCTGGGCCTAGTGGACCCGCCCCATCCACTTGAAATCTGAAACGGATTCATGGGGACTCCTGGGACCGGGATCTGAAACCGGAAGGCACATGCTGGAAGAATTGGGGAGGTGGGGATGGAGGAGCATATTTGTGCACTGTTTAAATGTGTGTAGCCTTACGATGCGTTGTAAAGTTTTGGGGGTGTCTTAGTATTGTGTTATTGGGCACATATTTTCATTTATAAACAGAGGAGCAATTTTGTTTTATTGCCTTTGATATAAAATGTTTTCTAGCTTTATAAAATTAACTGGAAAACTGTACTGTAGCTGATATTTAAGAAAGAACACATAAGTAAATTGTTTTGGTGCCAGCAAGTAAAAGCAGAGTACTATTATCTGGTCTAGTATTCCAGTTTGTAAAGAAAAGTCTTTATAAAACTAAAAAATGTAACCGTGTCTCTCATACCTTAACACATCTGTTTTATTTTTATGTATTTTCTGCATTTACAAGTGTTATGCATGGTTCCAAGCAATGTACAGAATGTATTTTCTGAGTAACATATTTTTTCTATTCATAATTAATTCCTCGTTTCTGTTGCTGACCTCTTATTTCCATTTAGTTTTTTTTTCATTTTTGCTACTATAGTTATTATAATAAATACTATATTTTTGTAGTTAACTATTTCGTGTTTTTTAAGTTGTGGACCTTACGGACATTTTATAGCTCAAACCAGGATCTTAAAAAATAAGTTTTGCTACATATTATTAAGGTAAATAGTGTTCTGTAGAAGTTGCTTTATGTTGGGGTATGATGTAAAATATATTTTTCACTGTGGGTCCCAAAAAAGTATATAGCAAAATGATTAACCATGCTTACTTGGGAATCAGACCGTCTGGGTACAGATCCGGTGTACTATATAGCTTTAGATAAGTCCCTTAATTTGTATACAGACATTTATTAACCTGTAAAATGGGTTATCAAAACCACTCCTTGGACCTGCGGTGGAGGAAAAGTTCACGTGAAGTTCTTGGAGAAGTTCCTAGGAGGGTTTTAGTTAACTTTATTCCTTAGAATTTAAAACAAAACAAAACAAAACAAAAAACCTTTTTCATCCTCCTTGGACTGGAGCTTCTACTTTTTGTTATTTTTTCAAAATTATTCTTAGAAGAGGAATTACTGATTCAAAAGTTATAACCACATTCTTCTAGTCTGACTCTTATTATGGGGTTTTGTGGAGAAACATAATGTGAAATATGGTGAGTACCAGCTTACATAGTAGAACACCAAGAAGAGGAAAGTTAGGCACCCTGGGCTTAGAGCACCACAGTTCAGTATGGTGCAGTGATACGTTTTGTGGTCGTCCAACTAAATTTAAATTATGGCTCATGCTAATTTGTCCACATGGTGATTTGGGGTAGGTTTTAAGCTCTAAATCTCAATTTCTTGATCTGTAAAAGTGGGAAAAATAATAACTGTCATAGATTGTTACATAGGTTAAATGAGCCGGAAGAAAAGAGTTCCCAGTCTCACTGAATTTTCCCAGGACATCTAGCAAAATGCTGTTTCTATGTGGAGATTCAATGCGTATTTTTCAGTGAATAAATACATTCGTTTTGGGGGAAGGTGCTGAAAATTAACCATTTAATGAGGTAAATTCTTTTGCTTAGGGAAAAAGTGAACGCTGTACTAAATGTCATGTAGAAGAGCTAGTCTGTGGTGGGGCTAAAGGAATGTGAGAGGTTTTGGGGTTTTATTCTGTTGGATTGGGTTTTGCATGTTATTCATGGAATATAGTTGGTCCTTGGGGTCATTTCTTGTTTTTCGTTTTATCTCAGTGTATTAATTGTCTGCACCTAACTCTGTCTGCTCCGTGTGTGCTGGCTGAGTTCATCTCTGGTGAAAATTATTGCCCAGCACCCATTGCTAGGTATATCTGAAGCAAATGCCACCCTGGTTTTTTCAGAGATTATATTAGTCACGTTTCAGTCACTTTTGACACCTGGAAATTAAAGGAAAGGTTTATTTTGGCTAATGATTTCAGAGGATTGGGTCCTTGGTTGGCTGCAAGGCAGAATGGTAGTGGAGGGCATCTCACGGAGGCCAGGAAGCAGAGTGAAAAAGGGAAGGTCTGTGACAATAGCACACCCATGTCACGCCCCCAGTGGCCCATCTGCAATCAGGCCCCGCCTCCTGACAACATATTCAGCTCCTGAACTCATCAGTGGATGAATCTGCTGATGAGTATAGTGTCCCCATGATCCAATCACCTTCCAAACATGGAAAGCGGGGCAACATTTTAGATTTGAATTGTAACAGAGATGTTAACAATTTATCATTAATGATTTCTGGTTTTATATTTTGTTTGAAATAGAAAACATCAGAGACCAGATCATGCCCTTAAATCTTTTCCTCACCCTTCTGGGGCTAACAGGTCTTTGCATACCACACCATTGTATGAGTTCATGACTGTAGTATATGTGTGTATGTACATAAACAGCCTATGGTTTTATTTTGAGGGCTTTACAATTGATGTAAGTGGTGGTGTATCCTTTTGCAACCTGCCATGCTCACTTACCACATTTTTTGTGATTTGCCATGTAGATACATATAGATGTGATTCATTCTTTCATGGGGAAAAAACAAGTTTGTTTATCCTTTCCCTAAAGGCTAGAGTCTCTAATTTTTTGTTATTTTTCAGGGAGTGTACATTGCTTCCTTAGGCACATGTGAGAATTTCTGTAGCAAGAAACAAATATAGCAATCAGGAGACATTGCCAAATGGCTCTTGGTCTTGTATCAAGTTACACATGGCTTTTGCTTTTTTTCTTTTCTTTAGTACTGAGTTAAACCTAGAGAGCACTGAGTAGCATCCCTTTTCATTTTTTTTTGTTTTGAGACAAGATCTTACCAAGTTGCCCAAGGTGGCCTTGAAATCCTGATCTTTCTGCCACAGCCCCAAGAGTCACTGAGATTACAGACATGTGCCACCATGCCTGCCCCACTGGGACTATTTTTGTGTACAGGTGGTTTTTTGTTTTTTTACCAATCACCGCCCCCCTGAAACCTTTAACTTTTTCCTTGTCTTTGCAGCCATTCTTGTAGAGGAAGTATGGTGGCATTAACTTGTGCCTCTTAATTACTTGCTTATGTATCTCCCTTTTACTGTCCCTTTTGGCAGTAAGTTTCACATCTGTTAGAAATATTCTATTCTTATTGATTTGTGAAAGTTCTTTATATTTTGTGTGTATTGTTCACTGCATCTATTTGCAGATATCTTCTACATTTTTTTGTCACACAGCTTATTTGCTCTTAATGTGTCACAATCTAAGGGCTATATTTTTTGTATACTGCTTTAAAGTGTTTAATCTTAATAAAACATTACCTGTAAGTATTTTTGATGTATCTCTGAAAGATAAGAATTGTCACATTGGTTCACGTGATTTTCCTGTGTTTATTGAGATGATTATCTGAGGGTTTATTTTGTTTTCTTTTTCAATCTGTTTATCTCATATATTACATAGATTTGCAGTCTTGGAATAGATCACACTTGGTCATGGTGTCTATCTTTTTGTTTTCTTCCAGTTTTCTTTGCGTTATTAGTTTCTAGCTTTATTCTATCTTGATCAGAGTTGGTGCTTTGTATGATTTCAGCCTTTTGAAATATATATGTATATAATGTATACACACACACACACACACACACACATATGTCACAATCTGTTGAAAAAAATGTCATACTATTTTTCTTTTCCTGAAGTGTGTATACATTTTTTGGCAGGCCTTCTCATCCATCCATCTATCTACCTGTCATCTAAGTTTTTTATATATATTCATAAGTGATACTGCTTTATAGTTTCTTACAATTTGTTTGTTTGTTTTTGAGGCCCAGGTTTGCCTTAAATGACTGTGTAGCCCAGGCTGGCCTGGAACTCTCAGTAATCCTCCTGCCTCAACCTCTGGAGTGCTGACATTACAGCTGCACACCATCACACCCGGCTCTTAGAGTGTGTGATTAGAAAGTGTTCGCTCTCTTCAATTTTTGGGAAGAGTTTGAGTAAGATTAATATTAATTTTTAAATGTTTGGGAGAATTCACCAGTGAACCCAGATAGGCCTGAACTTTTCTTGAGAGGATTTTCGGTTCTGATTTAATATCAGATCTTATAGATACCGCGAGAATTTGTGTTTCTTCTCGAGTCACTTGTGTTAACTTGAGTTTGTCAAAGATGAAGCTGGAAACCAGTTAAAGTGGTAAGGACAGATCGAACTGAGCTTCAATGTGTAGAGTTGTCTGGACAGGGAGTAGGGAAGAGAGGGAGCAGGTGGAAGAGGTGGTCACTCATAGTATCAGAGAAGTAAAATTTACAGAGAGCAGGGCCTGATGCACGTGAAGCCGTCTGGGTTTGTTAACTGGTGATTTTCAAAGCTGGGCTGCTACCTTCCCCAGAAGCTGAAAGTCAGGGGCCCCATCTTGAGGTGCTGCCTGCAAAGAACAGAGATAGTATGGGCCACCCTTGAGTCTTCTCAGGCAGCTGCTTTAGGGGGCCACTAGTGTCATGAGGCCTTGAGCTGCTAGAAATGAGGTAATATTTTATTCAGGTTTGCATAAGCCAATGGTGAAGCCTAATTGAGAGCTCAGAAGAGCCTGGGAGAGTTCGGTCAAGGAGAGAATTTTTGGAATTTCTCAAAATTTGCCAATGTCTTTTAGATTATCTAATTTGTTGATATACAGTTGTTCACAATATTCCCCAGTATTATTGTCCCCATTTTAACTTCTTGTTTTTAGCTATTTATGTCTTCTCTTTTCTGCAGCTAAGAGTTTATCAATTTAGGTGATATTTTCAAAGGGTTCAAAAAACATCTCTCTTTTGTATCCTGTATTTCATTTATTTCATTATCTGTCCATTATTCCATTCTTCTGGTTTTAGTCTGTATTTGCTCTTGTTTCTCTAGTTTCTTATGTTATAAACTTTGATTCTTGGTTTAAGATCTTCATTTTTAGTGCAGGCACTTGCAGCTGAAATTTCCCCCTAAGCACTGCTTTTGCTAGATTGTGGATGTCTATATTTTCATTTGTCTCAAATTTAATTCTAATTTCTTAGTGATTTCCTCTTGGGTCCATTTTTTTTTAGTATTTTGTTGTCTAATTTTCATAAATTTTATTTGCTTAATTTTACTTTTTCTTTTGATATAACTTCAGGATCCTATTTCCTTATTCCTATTCTACCTAGATTTTTTTTTTCATCATTAAAAGTGGATAGTTGAAGGAAGACTCCAACTATTATTTTAGAACTATTTCTTAAATTCTGTCAGGTGTAATTCTTTTGGTGAATATGTTTATAGTTGTCTTCTTTTTTCCAGTAACTGACTCCTTTTCTTAGTCTCTTGTAAGTATTAGTAGAGCCACATAAGCTCTTTTCTGGTTACAGTTTGCATCAAATATGTTGTCTTTTTTTGTCACTTTAAACTTTTTTGTCTTTGTGTCTAAAGTTGGTACTTTAGGCAGCATATGATTGAACCATTTTTAAAAAACCTATTCTGCTGATCTCTGACTTTAAATAACGTACTTAAAACCATTTACTGTACATTTGAAGTGATTATTGATAATGAAGGGTTTCCACCATTTTTTATGTATTTTACATCTCTTTTGTTTCTGTTTTTTCAGTAATTCTCTTTTGTATCTGATTGACTTTTCTAGTACTATTTTTATTCCCTCTTCTTTTCCTTTCCTATATACCTTTTAGTATGGAGATTACAGTTAACATGTTTGCCATGGAGATTACAGTTAACATTTGTGTTGATCTACTTTCCTGTTGCTTTAACAAAGTACCCGAATATGGATACTTTACAAAGGAAAGAAGTTGGTTTAGCTCACACTGTTAAAGGCCGAGAGTCTGAGATTATGCACACCTCTTCTTGGTTCAGCCCCTGGTGAAGGGCCTCCTGGTTGTCATCACAAGGGCACATGAAAACTGGAGAGATGACATGATGAGACAAGGAGTCAGGGACTAGGCCGGGGCTCACCTGGGCCTTCACAGTGAGCTGGATCCACAGCCCTGTTATTATTTTTCATATTGAAACGTGTCAAGAATATATCCTTCTTGGAGTTTTTGTTGGAAGTATGGAGTACATGTCTTTGATCTGTTGAGAAGGTTCTGTTCTACTTCTAGTCTCCTGATAGCTTTTACCATGAACAGCTGT